GCGACCAGGGGAGGCTCGTTTTGGACCAGAATTAGATTGGGAAAAGCTGTGGCGTGACCAGGTGGTCGGGGCCAGGATGCGTTTGGCATCGAAAGTGCGACCAGGGGAGGCTCGTTTTGGACCAGGTTAAGGCTATGTGGCTTAACATGAACCTGGTCAAGATTTTCGAGAGTCAGTGTTGTGGCAATTGTTGGCCCTTTGCCGGGGGGGCTTCCCCCTCCGCCTGGGGATCGTTGTCGCTTCCTCGGTCGTGGGGTTTTTGTTAACCCAGGCGGGGGCCCTTCCCACGACCTCCACGACAACGATGGGCTTCTGGGGCTTGGCCCTCCTCTGGTTGTGTACTTGTGCAGCAGTGCGGCCACGAGCGCGTTGAGGAGTATATAAATGCCAGGAGTAGAAAGCAAGGTTCGATTGGGGATGACGATTTTTCTGATGTTCCGGTACAGAATGCACCATGTTTTTATGCCGCAACAGTCCATGCCTCACAACAACAAGCCGTGCCGTTGGGTGTGCGGTGTTTGACTCGAATTCGTCCATTGGGCTTGGCTGACAAAACGCGCGCACCACATCTTGGACAATTGTGCTCGTGTCGGCGACCAGCAACTATACCGTCCAAGACACGAAATGTGTGGCTGCACTTACCTCGATGGTGGACTTGGCCAGTTTGTACCCCACTGCGGCATGGACAGTTGCTGCGTGGGCAGACGTATTCATAGAGCCTTGTCGGCTCCACTTTGACCTCACTGCCACGATCTAGATCGAATGCACGGCCATGTGTGGGCGCGTGTGGCTGTGCGCTTGTCGTGGTTTGTTTTCCTTTTTTGGATTGCGTTTTGGGGAGATTCTCTGTCGTGGCTTGGCGTTTTGTTGGACGACTACTGTGCGGGACTATGCTCGGCAGTGGCTCGATGGACGAGTGTGGTTTCGCGTGTGGTGCCACGACGCTTGCGCTTTGTTTGGGGCGCTTTGCGGCCGTAGTTTCCTGTGTGCCGGAGTCCCTCCGCGCCAGACGTTTGCGCGCGTGGACTTCCTTGGCAATGAGGTCTTTGATTTCTTGCAGGATGTGTTCTCGGTGGAGTCGTTGGCGCAGCGACGCTACACGCGCGTTGCACTTAGATGCGATACGCTGCCATTTGCGATGCTGCGCTGGTCGTGTGTCACATGCGTCACACATCTGGTGGCCATCTTTTCCGGATGGACGCCGACGCAGGAACGTACGGTATTGGTCTTGTGGCTCAATGCTCGATGGTGTTGAAGCTCTGGTGGCTGCACAGCCTTGCCTAGGTTGTAGATTCTATGAAGCTTTTGCTGGATGGTGTTGAAGTTCACCGACCAGGGGTACAGGAGACCAAACTGTTTGCCATGACCGCTCAAGTGAGGGCTGATTGGAATTTCAACGAGACACTCGCAAAAATAGAATAATGGTTTGATTTCTGTGTCTAGTGGGGCGGGTTTTGTTGAATACAGGTTAGTTGGTGTTGTGGTGAAAAAACACAGTTTAGATAACCAATGGATTTATGTTCCCAGGAATGGCTCAACTTGGCAGTGGGATACAACTGCAACTTTTTTTGCCATCAATGCCGCATGCACAAAAAAGACATGATGGGTGCCCCGAGCCAACTCCACCAGAACTTCCGACACAATACCCAGACCTTCCTGTCACAATGTCTGAAAAGAGGACCTGGCAGTTCCTCATCACCTAACATTGTGACATTTTTCTTTTTAAATCGTTGTGTTGTGTCCCCAAAATGGCTACACCCCGCAACAGTGTTTGCTTTAATCTATATGAATCGAATGCATGTAAATAATATGTATATATATATAATATATACACATGTAGACAAGCCACTGCCGACTGACACCCAGCGGGCTTGGTGCTTGAGGTCCTCTATGCGATCTCCCACAGTTTGACCCAACCCTGGTGAAGTGGTACAGTATGCACGCATTGAACCTTGGAACCACTCTCTGGATTGTTGGGGGTGCCATGAAGTGCCTCCTGGATGATTATAACTTTTGGGGCTCCCGCGAGGATGAAACGGAAAACAAGAGGCTGGCCTATGCATATGAACTGTTTCGACACTGGACCAAGCAGAACCGAGTTGAGTAGCTTGGTGGTTGAGCTGCATGGGTGCGTCCATGCATGAAGACCTGCATAGCTGGTGACCCTATTAATAATCATGATCATTTAGAGCTCTCCAACCATTTTGTATATTTCCCTTCATCCAGCCACCAAAAGAGATTTCCTTGCATAATCCCACATAAATATATATATATATATGTAATCATCACAAATGTTGTCATAGAAAGTTGCAGTGGAGCTATGTCTATGTGTATATATATATGTTGTTCCTGTGCCCGCACCCAGGCATTCGCAGCCGAAGTTCACTTGGAAGAAGCTTCGGTCTTGGCAGCATCCATATCCCGAACTCCAGGCCAAGGCTCACAATGTGGCTGGGATAAGCATAGGAAATTGCTTGTTTCTGATTTATTTGGTTTGGTTAAATTTCAAGTGTGATGATGTTCAGGGATCCAATGAGGAACCTGGACATATCCATAGTTGAAGGATTCCCGAGCCTAGACAGGCATGATTGGTCAGTGATGGGGTGACCCTATTCCTGGTTGGCAGATGAGTTGGCGCAGCTCGCCACACCTGGGGACAACAGGTTGTGTTTGATTACTCGCTGCGTATTCCTTGACAGAGATCTTAGCAAATGTGGGTCTACCTATTTCTTTTCAATTCTGGGTTTCATAATCATGGTACCACAACAGTGTTGAGGTTTCATATGGCTCAGTGGTATGATGCGCATGAACGAGCTGGGCACTATCTCACTGACGCGAATGTTGCAGCGTTCCGTCGGCACTGCGACACTTGAACCTGGATGGGGAGTGGTATTATTCCACTATCTTAGCCTCCTTTGTATTATTTTTCGATAAAGACCCCTTTGAAAGCAGTGGTCAATTGAAGTTTGTGGTGCATATTAATTGTCCATGGTTAACCGCTGTTTGGCCGTGGGATTTGTTATATCAATTCGATTCGACTGTCAGTTGACACTACAAGCCTGTCCCGGGGTCGGTGGCAGGGGCGGCAGCCCTTAAATCCGGCCAGGGGCCCGCTGGCCGTGTCCTTGCCGTAGGTGTCTCTCCTCTCCGAAGGAGAGAGTGGAGTCCCGCCCCTGCCGCCGACCCCTGCTCGACCCATGCGCAGTCCCGCGTTTTACAGTGTTTTCTGCTTCTTGCATTTTTCCGGCTTTGTGGCTCAAGATGGGCCAACATGGCCCAACATAAGCCGAAAAAAGTGCCCAAGTTGGGCCAACATGGCCCCAAGATGGGCCAACATAGGGTCAAGATGGGCCAACATAGCCCCCAAGCTGGGTCAAGATAACCCCAAGATGGGCCAACATAGCCCCAAGATGGGCCAACATAGCCTCCAAGATGGGCCAACCTAGCCCCAAGATGGTTGCCGAAAACCTTGGTTTTCCATCGGTTTTCCAAGGTTTTTTTGCGTTTCCTCTTTGTTTGGGCCAACACAGAGGCAAGATCGGACGACGTATGTCTAAGATGGGCCAACAGAAGGTCAAGGTGGGGCAGCATAGGGCCCAGATAGGCCAAACATAGCCTCAAGATGGCCCCACAGAGCCCAAAGATAGCCCAAGAGTGGCCAACACAGCCCCGACTGTGGGCCAACGTGGCACCCAACATGTGCCAACAACAACAACCCCCTCCCCTTTGCTTGGGCCCCTGGCCGGCTGTCGGGCGTAAGCCCTTAAATCCGGCCAGGGGCCCAAGGGGCCCCGACCTGGCCGTGTCCTCGCCGTAGGCATCTCTCCTCTCCGAAGGAGAGAGGGGAGTCCCGCCCCAGCCGCCGACCCCACAGGAATTGTGTGTTTTACAGCGTTTTCTGCTTCTTCCACTTTTCCGCTCTTGGGGCTCCAGATGGGTCACCATGACCCAACATAGGCCCAAACAATGCTGGAAATGCGTGCCGCACCGGGGTGCTTCGTCTGCATCGTGGGCGGCTGCTGGGCCCACGTCCACACCCACCACCACCACCACCACAACCACAACAACGACAACAACACCAACACCAACACCAACAACAACAACAACAACAATAACCACAACCACCACCACCACAACAACAACAACAACAACAACCTCAACAACAACAACAACAACAACAACAACAACAACAACAACAACAAGAACAAACAACACCGACAACAACAACAACAACAACAACAAGAACGAACAACACCGACAACAACAACAACAACAACAACAACAACAACACCAACACCAACAACACCAACACCAACAACAACAACAACAACCACAACCGCAACCACAACAACACACAACCACAACGACAACGACAACAACAACAACAACCACCCCAACCACAACAAGAACCACCACCACAAGCACAACCACCACAACAATACCAACAACCACAACAACAACAACAACAA